ATTCTCAAAATAAATCTGAATGAATCAGCTCGTACTTGAATCAGTCCAATTGGAACCATAATTGAACCCAGTCCAATTGAAAAGAACCAGCTAGAAACCTGATAGAACTTATCAATGTAGAGAGAGCCTAACCCACTTCATTTGAGTCAGACAGCAGCTTAATTATTTTGTGAGCATCTGTTGTAATGATAGCAATTGCAGCCAGATGGTCAGTCAGTAATAACACTTAAAAGATGTTTCTCATTGACCAGTCAGTTTCTTGAAGCTGTTGTGTGTTCCCTATGTTCATATTATATGTAATCATGGTAGAATGAATCAGCACAAATAATTAGGGACTTTTGGGCATCTTGGCATCTGTGTTGTAACTACAGCACAAGTGAAGTGACTATTCGGTATTTGAGTATTATGAATGATTCAGTTCCTGTTGGTGCGATCCTGCTGACAACAATTTGGTTAGGAGAACTCAAAAAATGTATCAGAATGTGGATGTGGTGAGCCTAGTCATCTTCGAGGTATTTCAGAGGAAACCCACATCAACTGTAAAAATGAACTTTGAGCTTCTGGACTCCAATAATAGTTTCAGCATTGCTTGGTAGGCATCCTTAATTTTGATTTCTTTTCAATTTATCTGCCATTGGAACTTTGAAGGTACAAATTGTAACACAGCTAGTCCTGAAAGTATGAATATAATTTCTAAATTTTGTGCTGTTTCAGATTGCCTTTAATTCTTATTCATTTACAGGATGAGGGCGTCACTGGCTAGGCAGCATTTATTGCCCATCCCTAATTGTCTAGAGGGCAGTTAAGAGTCCACCACATTGCTGTGGGTCTGGATTTGCAAGTAGGTCAGACCAGGTAAGGATTCCTTCCCTAAAGGATACGACATTGGGTTCACGGTCATCATTAGATTCTTAATTCCGATATTTATTGAATTCAAATTCCACAATCTGCCATGGTGGGATTCGAACCCAGGTCTCTGGATTAACAGTACAGCAATAGTACTCTTTAAATTACTGCTTGTTGAGCTTTTGATTATGTGAGTAAGGATATAAACTGAACCTCCAGAGCAGAAGAAATGGGGTTGTAAAATTTGGGAGGAGGGTGGGTGTTTTCAGCTGGTGTTTATTTTCCATCATCTAGAAACAAGTATAAAACTGGCATTGGCAGAGGCTGGTTAATTTCCAGTTTCTCCTTTTTAATTTGTCTTTTTTAAAATAAAAAACAAGGTGACATGTTCACACATGAATATTCTAATGAGAGACTAAAACCTGCCTGGTCTTTTGTCCCACTGATTTTCTGTGGAATGAAAGTCATGGGCTCTACAATAGAGGGGAAAATCCACTCCACTAGATTATTGCCCAGAGGATAGAGAAATTGATCCTTCTGATTTGTTTATACCAAACTGACTTTCACTCATTTGATTGCGCTAGACTAAGTTAACAACTGCCTCTTCTACATTCTCTGCCCTCTGTCCTCTCCTGCAGGTGTTAGTGGTTTGCAGACCCAGAACTACCGAACCTTTTGGAACCTCCCTGAAATAAACATTCTTCATGTCTAAATCCTTTTCTCTTTTTTTTGTTTTTGAGTTAAAATCCATTTCAGCCAGTTGATGCCATTACAATTGAACCAAATCCTTGTCCTCAATATCAAAATGCACACTTGGAAATTAGACTACTTTTAATATTAAACTTTTACTAACTTCAATTCGTCTTGCTCCACTTTCTTAGACTTAACATTAAATAGTGCAGATAAGGAGATTATTTTTTGTGCACAATGAACTTGCCTTCAATTTTCTTTTTTCAATTTTGTAGAATTCGAGTTTTTTTATTATTTCATTGTGCATGTTATTTTGCATTTGGAATACATCTTGTTTGACTACTGTACACCCTCCCAATCGTTGTATAGGTTTTTCTGGCATCTTGACCAGAGTCTAATAAAGTACGTGAGAGTTGACTGAATAGTGCATTGTAAAGCTGCAAGGTCTCCTCTGGAGACTAGGAACTGGAATTTTTCCTGCTGTAATGCTGTTTTCTTTTCAGCTGGTAAAGTGGAGGGAAGTCACAAGGAAGACCTCGCAATGTGTCCACGCCTCGGCCCTGAGTTTTTTGGCAGAGGAAAGCCTATAGAGGGGTTGACTCCCAGTCCTTTCTCTTCGACCCCACTCCTCTTTTTCAGAGGTGCCTGCTGCATCAATGAAATCGTAGCAATTTTGCTTGGGCCTCCACAGCAATCTACAGATGTCTTGATTAGATTTCTCCTGTTCTGATGTCTTCGTTGAGCTTGCCAGATTCAACCTTCACAATGTTGGGCAGTCCGAGCCATTCCTGTTCATGGAAAGGAGGGAAGTCCGTGAATGCAGCATTCCAGCACCATTTTATGGTGCCAGCAAATAATTCCTGCTTCTCCCAATGTCAAAAACAGTAACTTGCTTTTTCAGTGAAGTGGTCGAGGGTTACAAGGCGAAGGTAGAAAAGTTTCTCAACCAGCCATAATTGAATGGCTGACCAGAATCGATGGGCCAAATGGCTTAATTCTGCTTGTGTCTTTCACTAGTGAGGTGTATAGCACATTGGCATGAAAAGATCACTCTTGAAATGCCCATTGGACTCCAGTGTACAGAAAGGACCTGAATTGGCACATTAAAGCGAGGCAGCAATTGAAATGAGCCAGTGCTTCAAGTGCTCGGCAATAACTTTGATAGTGGCAGCAATTGCTGATGTTAACCAGAAGTTCATTCTACCAAACCTTACTTCTGCCTTTTAACACCAATTTCAATTTCAATTCCAATCAACTCCATCAAAATCTAGATCTTGTGCCTTCTACGTTAGTAGAAAAGGAGGGTTTTATTTGATAATCCCTGGGAGAAATCTGAGGCACTTCTTATTTGGATCCAAAACAATGAATGTGGCTTAGAAGCAAAAGTACCGTATTGTTCTTCTCAACACTTGCAATCAATTTTAATATTACAGTTCCCACTTGTACTCATCTTTTTAAGCTTATGATCTAACTTATCTGTAACTCCGTCAAATGAGGAAAGACTTCTTGGGAAAAGCCATTAATGCTAGATGGATGAGCTAGTGATGTTGCCTAGAATTATTGGTTGTTTGACATATTTAGAATGTAGGGGTTATTCTAGGATTTTGCTTCAGTGAAAAGTTAGGTAAGAACAACCTGTACCCAAACTTCCTGAGTTTTTGGTTGATAGCTTTTAATATACTAGCCCTTGGGTTACTTGTTTCCAATTCCTGCAAGACTACACCTATCCCCAGTATTCTTTCAGGGCAAGAGACAGCAAACATTCCTCAGCCTGTTTCATAAACCTCCCATACTCCATCTGAGATAGGCTTTATAAGTTTTTAGTGTCCTGATTACAGTTCTTATGTCACATTCTGCTTTATAGAACTCTGACTTCCTCTCTATTTGATTGTAAGTTGTTTTTGTTTATTCCTTCAATCTTATGCCATCTTTATCTTCTAGATTCTTGGCACATCTAATACTTCTTGACCTACTTTGGCAAATCTTGTATTTTTTCTTCCTTTTTATATAACTTTCCTCTTTTCAAATTTTCCCTATTTATCATCATGACTTAAAATGCAATACTGAATAAGACTGTTTTTAAGAATTTCCCTATTTAACTTCCATTTCATTTTACCGGCATTCCTCTTTGAAAGTTAATCACGTTTTTGGCCTGGGGCTGATTGCTACTTTTTTTAAAATTGCCTTTATCCATTCCTAAAAGTTGCTGTTATGATATGGATCTTCCTTTTAGCCACTAATGTGAATTGGGTCCAGATGTAAATGACCTTGATGTGGTTTACCTTGTACCGATTTCACTCATTCTGACAATCACTTCACTTTGAATATGTCCATTTGTTGAGACATTGTAGACTGAATTAGAGTTGTCATTGAATTTAGGGCGATCAATTGGTGTCGCCTTTTTGAGTACCGCATCCCATCTTAATACTTTCCAGGAGCCGTTTGACCTGTTCTGTACGAGCTGGCATTATTTTCCTAGTGGGTGGAAGGCTAAAACTGAACTAGTTTGAATTACTGGATATAGCAGGATTTGAATTCAATAAATATCTGGAATTAAGAATCTATTGATGACTGTGAATCCATTGTTGGAAAAACCCATCTGGCTCACTAATGTCCTTTAGGGAAGGAAACTGCCATCCTTACCTGGTCTGGCCCACATGTGACTCCAGACTCTCAGCAATGTGGTTGACTCTTAACTGCCCTCGGGGCAATTAGGGATGGGCTATACACACTGCCTAGCCAGCGATGCCCTCATTCCTTGAATGAATAAAGAAGTAGTCTGCACACTAATAGTGAGGTGATGAGGAGAATAGGTGCATTGAAATCTATAGTTCAAAGTGGTGCTAAGCCATGAGTAGATAAACCAGGACAAAAGAATGCGCTGGGGACTGGAAGACTGTACTTGCAAAATATTTACAACTCTTTTGAGCAAACACAGATTGTGAAAGGTGGATGATCAGTAATAAGATTGCTAAAGTAGTTGAATCTAGAGGTAACAACATTCACTGGAGCAAGTGTGGAAGCAGAAACACTTGGCAATTTGTTTATTTTTGTAAATGGTATTAAAGCATTCCTCTATTAAGATGGTCTCCAGTATGTGACTCTTGCTTAAAATATCTGAACTGTGGAAATCGGATTGTGGAAAATTCACAAGGCAAGAAATACAAGCAACGCAGTTTACAAATGTTACTTTTAAAATGCCTATTAGTGACTTCCCTGTAAATTAATGGGAAATCAATGTTTCACAAGTTGTGTATATTCTGCAAGGGATCATTTTAGTTGAGTTGCATTTAAGAATGAAATTGTCAAAAGCATCATTTACTACAACTGACCTATGTATGACAGGGCATGTTTTATTATAATAACTATATATAATAAATGAATCTGAAGAGCATGTATCTGTTGCCTGTCTGAATTTTGCTGTTTCAGTCTAACCTTTTGTTGTTTTATTTTGTTCACTGTAGACACTACAACTGAAACTGACTCTGGCTACCAGCTGAGTGATAACTACAATAGTGCTATAGTTCCTGGCCTTCCAAGTAAGTGCTTTCATTTATTACATATTCTATCCCCACAGCCCCCAGCTACCATGTACTCAACCACAAGACTCATCAATCCAAATGCCAATGCTGTAGGCAACATTAACTGTATTCTACTACAGGCTCTGAAACACTACCCAAATAAACTGCTGGTTCTGAAACATAACTGCTACAGAAATTGTAAATTTTGTGGGGAGGATCTATTGTGTAAAATGTTTAAAACAACATTTCAAAACTTGATGTTTCAAGCAAATTGTTTTAAATTGCCTCTTCCCAAAATTGGTACCCTCTAACTCATTCCTTCATTTTTAGTTGCTCAGCCCAAGAGGGCAGGCTAATTTACAATATACTGAATGTTCCCAGATTTACCTTGCCCACATAATGCCACTCCTGCCTGAAAAGTTAAATGTCATTTCCTCTCCACTTAGTGGAGACCTTGGCTGTCCCCATCATTTAGGATATAATTCACTAGCTTCTCTTGCTTGCTATTAGTTAGGGGTTTTCTTGCTGCTGAATAATGTATACATTTAATAAGTGCCTGTAAATTCAGGATTAATTAATGTAAACCCCAATTCAGTCTTCAGAAACTGAAGACTTGTGTCTGTATTATTGGATTTGAGATTGAGCTCTATTCCTTTCTTCACCTGGTGCCCATTTGTATTTCCAGCATTGCACTTTCAATCAATGTTCACATCTGCTTTAGTCCCCTCCTTCCCTGCACCCCCACCACAGCCCTCCTGTGCAGTCATTGTCAAAATGGCAATCCATTCCAGTGGTGGTCCACAAGGATTAATGCTGGGGCCTCTGTTTGTAATTTATATAAATGGTTTGGTTGAAAAAGAAGGTCTGGTTTAAGTTTGCAGATGACACAAAAATTAGAGTTGTGGATAGTGAGGAAGGTTGTCGAAGGATGCAGCAGGATATAGATCAGTTGGAAAGTTGAGTGGAGAAATGGCAAATGGAGTTTAATCTGGAGAAGTGTGATTTATCTTGGGAGATCAAATGCAAGAGGGAAGTATACAGTTAATAGCAGAACCCTTGGGAATAGTGATATACTTTTCTTGAGGTGTAAGTCCATAACTCCCTGGGCTATGGGCATTCTACCTTCATTGGTCATATTGTATATAAAAGTTATCAAGTCACATTACAGCTGTGTAAAACTTTCGGCTGCATTTGGAGTATTGTGGGGCAATTCTGGTCATCACACTATAGGGAGACTTTGGAGAGGGTGCAGAAATAGTTTCAGGATGTTGCCTGGATTGGAATGTATTGGCTATAAGGAGAGGTTGGACAAACTTGGATTGTTTACACTAGAGCATCGGAGGCTGATGGGTGACCTGATAGTGTATAAAATTGAGAGGCATAGATAGGATGGATAGTTGGAGTCTTTTTCCCATAGTGGAAATAAACCAATGTCCTGTGGTATTTGATAAGATGAAAGGGGGAATATTTAAATATGTGCGAGGTGTGTTTTTTTTACACAAAGGGTAGTAGGTACTTATCCAAATGTCTTAAGCATTGTAATTGTATCCATGTCCACCACTTCCTCAAGAAGTATATTATGCCCTAATGGGATAGGAGAGTCTGAGTCCTACTATGCTTAAAAAGTTGTACTCTTGTTTATTCTTATGACACATGTACTTGTTTAGAGTTTAAACTCTTCAAACCTCCTCATGTCAATATACTGCAAGCTACTTGAAATACTTACTTGGCAAGTTTCCTTAAGTTTAAACTGGAGGTTTTAATGTTTTATTGCAAAGTGCAAGTCATGTGACTATTGGCTACTGATGGTATATTTGACCATTAGTGTCACAATTAGTAGTCATGTGGGGCTCAATTAAATGCTATTTTCCAAAATGATAATGAAGTACTTGTTGGACGTGGCTGTATTCCAAATAAGTTTTTTTTTATATAAATTTGTCTTTGGTAGCAAACAATGAATCAACTACTGTGAAGTATGGGATTACTTTAATGTTTTCAGTTCTTTACTCCAAGACAAACCTGGGCCATAGCATCACAACCTTCTCCACAGGTAGGGCCAGGAGCCAGGTTTCTACTCTCAACATGGTGGGAGTGGGGGGTCTGTAACATTAATTTGGTAATGCCTGCTTAATCCATCTGAGCAAAGAAACCAACAAAATACAGTCTGCGACAGGGAGGAAGGTAACAGTGGCCACATCTCCAGTGTTAAAAGACTGGAGCAGAGGCTGTGGAGCGGATAAGATCATTGCCAGTGATATCTGGCTGTAAAGCAAGCTGGATTATTAACCCACATGACATATGTATGTAGCTGTCTGTGATGGTTGAGTACTGCAAGTGTTGGAGTGCATTATTCACTTCCAAAATGCACATTTTCAAAACTGTACGCAATCTGGAATTCTTTACCTAGAGGGGTCTCTGAAGCTTGAATGGTTGACAGCAAGACAGAGAAATCGGTGAATTTCTGCTGACTAATGACATGAGGGGGATGTGTGTAAACTGGCATTGAGGTAGAGTAGCAGTCTTGGTGGACTGAGTGGCCTTTTCTTTCCGAGTGTCAGATCGCACATAGGGGCCTCTTTAGTGCTGTACTGTCTTTCTCTCCCAACTGATGCTGCTGCAGCTGATCTTTGGGGTCAGAAAGCCTGAAAGTGTTTGGGAGGAAGTGATGGGGTGTGAAGAAGGGAGGTCCATGGGTTCCCTAATCAACAGTTGTTTTATCATGAGCATCCTGATTTGAGAAGGGATGAGTCAGGAAGTGCTATCAGTGTCTAGCTTCAGTGATGTTCAATGTTGCAGGGTGTGTTGGTGCGCGCTTTCACCAATGTAGAATTCAGAAGATGGATGGGATCATTGTCTCCCACTGTGGCAGTTCTATTGTGTGTCTGTCTTGTTCTTTGAGAGCTTAGCACACCTGGAAACATTGCAAAGAAGTTGCACTACGTGGTACAAGAATCATTTACACATTGTCTTGCACCTTTTTGAAAAAGCCAAAATTCACAAAGTTTGTGAATCAACACTTTCACTCCAATCAGGGCAGACTAATGTCTACCCTAACCTATTTCTCCCACGTTCTGTATTGGATTTATTATTAACTTCTGTTATAGCCCCTGTTTAGTCTTGGCCACAGGTGGAAACATTTGTCTCTGACCCGGTCATAATCTCAGACGCTGCTGTCAAGTTACTCCTCATTTCTTTCCAAAGAAGAGTCCCTGTCCAATCTATCCCAGTGAAGAGCTCTGTTCTGTTTTCATTTCTGATAAATAGATTTTTTTTTTTTCCCCCTCCTCTGAGCCTGTATATCCACTTTTATAATCTGGAGGTCAATATTGGTAAGGTTTTTAAGTTTGTTTTTAATTCCACATTCTTCCAGAGGCAAACCAAGTAATATGGTTTGCCTCTGGAAGAATATGGAGTTAAAACTTAAAAAAAAAAACTTTACTAATATGGACCTCCTGATTATAAGAGAGGATATTGTTTTTTTTTTCAAAAAAAAGCCCAGCAGGTTATTAAAGCAAACCATATTACTTGGTTTGCCTTAACTTGCTGGTTTTTTAGTAATTAGAACATCTGTAAGCTCTGATTCCTCTGTCTACCCTCCTCAATTCTTCCTGTCAAATGCACCACCTTCATTTATCTCTGTTGGACACCTGGTCAATTGCACATCCATTCTGCATGTTTATTAACATCATCCTGATTTTATTTTGATCTCTTCTCAATTAATCACATTCTACCAATTTCTGTCTTGAACTTTATTAAACTTAATTTCACCAACTAATTTATATTGTATCCAATGATGCTTTATTTCAATTGTCATTCTTTTTGCAACAATTTGTTTACAGCTGATTTTTGTACTAAGATTTCAAAGCGGGGTTTTGAAGGAAATGGAATCCTTGCATTGTCTCATTGCTCATAACTATTACCTTTATGTGCTGTGGTGCTCAAACATAAAACTGACTAATTGCATACATGTAGCATTAGCCCCTGAAGATTTGGAAGTGATGAATTGGCTTCTAGATGTAACACATCTCTTGATACCTGAGAGAAGAACATATAAAGTATTGATAGTGAAACGTTGATTTCTATCTGCAATAGTTAGCTGTATTTAGAAATAATTTCTTATTTTAATGCTGGCCATCTGTACATCAATTCATTTGATGCAGAGTTCAGATTTGTTCATCTGCAGTGATAACAGTCAGCCAAGGAAACGATCTTTGGTTTTGAAATAGAGATCATTGCATGACTTTTGGAAATCGGACTAGTTTGGCTTCTTCCTAAGCATCATGAGCTCTACAAAGAGATTTTTGACCTTAGATGATGAAATGACAATCAAATACAATGTAAATGTTGAAATAGACTTATCCTTCCTTTTATTGTAAAATGTGGCTCTTAGTGCTATCAGGTTATAAGCAAAACTTAAGTCAACTTACATTGTTACGGCATCAGATTGTTTCCATTCTGAGCCTCATTTGTTTCAATGATGTATTCCATCCAGCTGGACAGGAAAAGTAACCATATTATTTGGCTGAGAGAATGGTTTATGTGCTAAGCTTGAAGTATAGAACTTACAGGTCTTTTACAATGGTTTTTAGGACCCAACAAATCCTTACTGTTCCTATCATTTCAATTTAAGGCAGTGAACAATTGTTCTAAATGTTAGGGATGGCTTACTTTCTCTAGGTTCTACATATGATTGGCCTATATCACTGTCCTTATGAATGATCTCCTTCACACTGGGAAAGTATCCACTTTGGGTTTGTTGGCTGAGATCAAATCATCAGTGAATTACAAATAGTATGCCCCATTGGTGCTTGAGTAAACTGTTTCACCATGTTATCATGGTATTGTTCATCTCTCTCCTCTCCAGTGACCAGACAAAGAGGGAATTTGGTGATCTGTGCTGTTCCCCAGCCTAAAATTAAGACCAGTTATGGTGCATTGATGGCCAAGATCATCTTAACTGCACAAGACAAACATTAAACCTAATCTCTTCCTGATCTACATGAATCATACCCCTCTGAGTCATTGAGGAAGTTGCATGTCAATTGTATAACTGGTCCTCTAACCATTTTTGAAAAAAAAACTGTACAAATAAGATGAAACAATTGTGAACTTGTCTTTAGTACCTTGAAGGGCACTTTTTTTTAACTTAAAATAATTAACTGTGCTAACTGTTCATTTTGACAGGCTGATGTGATGATGGTGACAGCTGTCTGCTAACAATCTCCAATCCATCTTTCAGTGCCCATCATTTGCTCAGTAGTCAGTGTAGATTCTGTCTCCATCCAGCAGCTACATCTGGCTACTGGGTCTCTGATGGTATCACACTGCTGTGCTGCGGGCTCATTTACATTCTGGTTCAAGTGGCTTCCTATCCAAGGTGGAACAACAGGAAGATCCAGCGTTGAGATGCTGTAGTTACTGAATGGAAGCCCTGCTAATGCTGCTGTTGTCCTTAGTAATGGAGACTTCTAGTTGTAACTGTACTCAAGGTGTCAAGATTTAAACAGAAAGTTTTATTTGTAATCTTTAGTGGTAATTTAATTCATCTGGTGTTGGGGAATGGGCAGTAACTAAGCAACATCCAATTCTAAATTGAATTGTTACCTTCAGATTACATAACTGCAATTTTACTTCAACTCAAGTCAATATCTTGCATTCCTCTCAGTCAACCTCCAACAAAATGTTGCATTATTTTTTTTCCATGTTTGATTAGTCATTCTTTTGAAATGTAGCCATTGTGTTCATCTCTTCTGGATTATTTATCTGTGCTGTCTGAAATACACTTTCATTTGTCACTTTTTGATCTAATGTGAGAGTCTTTGCAGGCACTTCCATTCAAAGCTGCTGAAATCATTCAGACTCAGACCTTTTTCCTTTCTGAACTGTATGGGTCCCCAGCAAGTCCACGTGGCTTAAATATTAAGTGTTTTTCACCAATCACATTTGATTTAGTTCACTAAATAGTTCACACTAAATTAGGTGAACTATTTCAAATGCTTACCATCTTTTATCTGACTGAGCTTTGACATCTACCCAGAGTTTAAATGGGTGAAAGTATATCCAGCTTGCAGTCATTCACCTTGCAAATGTATTTTTCTTTTGAAAATCATTTTACTTTCAAGACCTAGAACTTTATAATAGTGATCCACAATCTTAACTCATAAGATTTCAGTTTTCTGTGGAAAGCAGGATTTTATTTGGCTAGCCCCATGATGACAACCTTCCTCTTCCCTAACCTGGACTATAAGTAGCTTCATATTTCCAGCAGTGAGTTCTGGAAATCCAAGACTATTCACACTCTTGCTCCCATTATTTCTCTAGAATGTGATTATTTACTATTTAGTAATTATATTGAATTTCACAACTAACCAGCAACAATTGTTGAAATTAATTCTCATGTGCAAAATCTACAATTGAAAAGTTAAAGGAATAAATGACCAATATGTAGGGTGACCAGATGCTCCATTTTCATCATGGCCCAACAAACTCCTAAGATGGTGATGGAAACAGAGGACAGTTTGTCAAATGTAAATTGAAGCTGGGTGAAGAAAATCTGAAATTCTGTTTTCCTTCCTGGAACACCATTCACATTGCATTGCATAGTATACAGGAGACCTGAATCCATCCATCCTCCCCTTGAGCTCTCCAAGAGCATTGTCACCACTTTGTCAATGTTGACTACTCTGTTGTTGCTGATACCCATTTCATAAAACGATCTACAGAATAGGGTTGTTAACTCCAGGCAGCCATATTCTGGGAAATATGCTCACAGGTCCTCCTGCTTTTAACTGTCCCTTCTCCCAGACTTCTGTCACTGGTACGCAACATATCTGTAGTTATGGAGCCTGCCCATTGATTTTCAATGTGTCCTGCATTTTGACTTTTTGAAAATCTGGTCACCTTCCCTGTATGTTTAATACTTTGTAGTTATTACAGACAACTTGTGAAGATCACTAACAGCCCCTAGTGGTAGAGATAAAGTCCTACATCATTCCATTTATTTCTCTGCATTTCACCACTCCGTGCTATGAATTTTTTTGTTCAAACTATGTTCAATCTTTCCTATCAATTCTCGGCCTCTTTTTCTTGATAGTCTTGCCTGTGTCTGGAAATTCCACTTGAGTTAGTATAATACAGTCAGACTGCAGGATACCAGTTGAGACAGATGAAAGATGAATTTACCACTGACGTCAGGAAGACTAGACATTCTTGTCCTAGACTTCTGTGTGGTAGTAGAAAGGAAAAGCCTGAATCATTCTAAGACCTGTGCTAGGAATTCATAGTTATCTCTTTGGATGGATAACCTCTCATCTTTAGGCACGTTTTTAAATGTTTATTTTACATCAATGATCTACTAACTTTCTTGCAAAGATGTTTCAGAACTCAATTTGCATGTTCGTTGTCACCTTCCCACACAATGTATTCAGTCTGAAAATGCTCAATTTTCCCTGGAGACAAGTGCATAGAGACTTGCAAGTGAAAACAACACCTACAGACACAGTCACTCCAGTTCAGCAATGGAATGCCATTATCTTTGCAGTTTCATCAGATTTTGAAGCAAGAGTACTTTACTCCATTAAACTGATGCAATGGAACCTATAGAAATGATATGATTTATTGTTAGACTAAAACATTGAAATCCCAGTACACTTGTTGCATTTCAGGGAGGCTGCGTCCAGGTATTTTATTTATTAGATTTGTTTTTCTTGTAATATACAATGTGGGAAAGGTTCCAATTGTGTTGAGAAATGAAACTACTTTGAGTAGGCTGATGATGATCTGTGATGATGACTTGTTTTTCCAGGTTTGGGCCTGAACCTGGCATACAATGTAGAATTCTGTGTTTGTATACCAACAGCTACATTGTCTGCTGGGTTTCAGGCTACTTGGAACAATAGCAAATCACTTCAAGATTGCAACATGGCTAACTGGAATAAAATGTAAGTATGCAAGCTCTTTTAAAAACAAGAATGTCACCATATTTGGACAGCCTAGTTACTCCAAATTAAGAATCCATTCCAAAGCTGCCTATCACTGCAATGTGCCAGAACTACATTGCATCTGTTTTCTTAGTTGTGTGTAATAACCTCAAGTCAAATATTCAACTGTAGTTACCTGGCAAACTGAGATACCTTGCTTAACCTGTGTTGTAAGCTGCCGTTGAAGCTTTTGGATATTTGTATTGAATAATGACTGATGCCTTTTTGCATGTCTTTCAATTGCCCGATGAGACATGACGATCTATGGATGAGGAAGTTCTAAACTTTTTAGTAACGGTCTGTGGAACAATGAAGGTGACTATGCCTGTTAGTCCCACAAAAGGGCATTCAGTTAATCCCACTCACATCCTTTTTTTTTTCTCCAAGGCTTTGCAGTTTCCCTTTTTTTCAAATACTAATCCAGTCTCTCTCTTTTTCTTTAAAAATAACTTGAGTTTGCTTCCCTGATGCTTTCAGATTGAAACAACCCCACAGATGCTGGTATCCTGTCACCAAGTCACCCTTTATTAACTTGTGGAGAGTCATTGATCCAGCTCCCTCAGCCAGCTCTGAGTGAACAGAATCTCTAACGCTCTGGTTCTTACATCAACCAGGGCTCCCTGATTGGACCAGATTAATAGCCCCAATCGGGAAACTCTGTAAAATCACTACATAGATCATAGGTAACTATTTTGTACAAAGCAACTCCTCTCCACTCTGAATCTTATTGTCCTAAACTTTTTCACCAAAAAATTTTGAGATGCAGAAATTTCTGGCGATGGTGTTGTCTTGATACCAGACTCTTCAACATTTAAATTTGCAGGTGGTATATAAAAGTTTTGTTCACCAAATTGTATGCAGCAGTTGTATGCAACAGACAGCTCAGCTGTAGAATGTTTGTCATTGAATTTAAAAACATTTGTAATGGAACAGCCAAACATTTGTTTTATGATGTACATCTTAAACTGATGAATGTTAATTTACAGGTTATATGCATAATCCAACATTACAGTTTAATTACCAGACTGCACGTGTATGATGGCATTGAATAATAAAGTAATTAAAGCATTTAACTACTTTTCGTATTCATTGTGTGATGTACCTCACTGAACAAAATCAGTATAATTTAAAAGGGTTTCTTACCTGTTCATGTGGTATGACGTACATCCAGAGCAGGTGGGACTTGACCCCAGGCCTCCTGGCTCAGAGATTGGGACACTGGCACTATATACAAGCCCCTTTCTCGGTACGGGAACAGGAGTAGGCCATTCAGCCTTCTGGGTCTGTGCCACCATTCAATGAGATTGTGGCTGAACCCCCTTTTAAATACTTTTTTTGCTTAACAAAGTTATCTACTTCAGATTGTTAATAACTGATCCTGCATTCACTGCTATTTGTGGAAGAGTCCAAAATATCTACCACCTTTTGTGTAGAAATGCTTCCTAACATCTCTCCTGAGCAGTCTAATTCTCAGACTATGTTCCCTGGTTCTAGAATCCCCAACCAGTGAAAATGGGGTAAACAAAGAGAAACTCTCATCATTTAATATCTTGCCTTCAATCAGATCCCCTTTCAACCCTCAACTCTAGAGAAGACAAGACTAATTTGTATAATCTCTCTTCCATCCGTCAGGTCCAGCTACCATTCTTGTAAACCTGTTGTACACCCTCCAAGTGAGGTCTGACCAGAGATTTTTGTATCTTCAGCCTAACCCTTTCATCTTTGCACTTCAGTCCTCCTAGATATGTCTACATTTCAACTAAATAATACATTCCTTATTTTTCCTTTTAATCAACCTACTGAGATGTATTGCAGTGCTGTGGATTGGGTGGTGCTTGAACCCTGGCCTCCTGATTCAGACATAGGGATACTACAGCTGTGCCACGAGTGATTCCCTTTCTCAGGGTATTATCCCAAGCTCAACTACTTTCAGCTTCTTTCTTTGTAAACTTTCCTCCCTAAAGAAGGGAGGATGTCTAGTGCTTCATGACCTGCAAAGGGTTTTCATCAAATAATGAACCAGTCTGCCTGGATGCAGCAAGATTTGGACTGTTGAGGTGATTGTACTCATGATAACTGCCAGACAGTGACCATCTACAACGAGAGACTCTGTACCTCTCTTTATATTCAAAGGTGTTTACTGTTACTGAATTTTCTGCCATCAACATCTTGGATCCCTATTGACGAGATGTTTAACTAGCTGTTGCAATAATGGTGATCGAAAATGTGGGTAACAGGCTAGATACCCTGTCACAAGTGGGTCACTGTGACTATTTCACCATCTATAACATGTAAATCAGGAGTGTGGTGGAGTGATCCCTGAAGCTTAATGTTATCTAGAGTAAAAGGTAGCTTGCGTTTTTTTTTTATTGTATTTTATTTTTTGGTATTACGTTTACCGTCTCCAGAATCTCTTCCTCCATCATCAATAAGATTGCCTATTGTGATCGCCCTAGCTGATGACTCCTAAAGCAAAGGGAGTAGTGTGTGGGGACTTTACCAGCATTGCAATTTTATGTATCACACCATTCTGAATTGAAAATGTCACCATTTCTTCAGTAATGGATCAATATCTCTCCATATGCTACCTCAACACTGTAGGTGTACCAACATCTCTCGGACTGTGATTCCTGAAAATGGCTCATTGCTGCCTTTTCAAGGGCAAATAAAGATGAGCAGTAAATGTTGGCCTTGTCAGTTGCCCCCACATCCTGAGAATGAATTAGAAATAGCTGCTGGATTCCTTGCACGTTTCTCACCTTTGCTAAAGGGATAATAAAAGTGCTAATCATCCAGACTATTTACAGTGTCAATAGGAGAAATGGCAAGTACTTAACTTCTTGGCCAAGCCTCTATGCATTTTTTTTTTTTTTGGTTGGGAACCCAAAAACCTGAGGCCCATTATAATCTGCATTCTGTTATTTTACCCTGATGTACTTTAAAGTATGGTTTGCCTGTATAGCATGCAAAACAATATTTCTCACTATCACAATGTTACAATAATAAATCAAATCAACTGGTAGAGGTCATTAGTTTGGAAGTTGTCAATATGAATAAAGTGTATTGATTTTTTAAACATTTTTGAAAAAATATTGGTAAACCTGATTGAACTTTCATGCATTATGACATGGAGATTAGTTTTTAATCAGATTCTACAGGCTGTTCCTTGTGTATGTATCAAGGATTTAGTGTTAAATGTTGAGATGTGATTATGCAGTTGGCAAATGATGGAAGAAGTTGGTCATAAGGTTGAAGGAAGCTATGGACTGCAGGAAGATACCAAAAGACTAGCTAGTTGTGTGGCAAATATAATTTAAACCAAAGACCTGTGATGTAATTGTATCAAAAAGGCAAGGGAATACCTAATAAACTAAACAAAAAACACTCCAGTCTGGCAGCATCTGTGGAGAGCAGAAACAGAGTTAACATTTTGGATCTAAGGACACTTCAGTTTTTCCAGTAATTTTTGTTTTCATTTCAGATTTCTAGCATTCACAGTTCTTTGTCTTTCACTCAATAAATGGGTTGGATACAGATGAATGTAGAGGGACAGTGCACCTCTGGAGTGACTTGGAGATCCCTGAATGTAGCCAGCTGGATAGATAAGATGATTATAAGAAAATACTTAAGAAAATCAAGAATACTTTCTTCTGTTAGCCAAGACACACAGTATATGAGCAGGGAGGTGCTTGGACTGTATAAAACAATGATCAGGCTACAACACAGATACTGTGTAAAGTTCTGGTTCCACTTTACAGGAAGGATGTAATTGCACAAGAGAAGTTATAGAGAAAACTTACAGGGACACTAAGAGGACTGAGGACCAAGAGAGATAATTATTTTCTTGGAATTGTGCAGCTTTGATTGAAGTGTATCAAATGAGGACTGTAGATAATGAATGGGAACAAATTCTTTCCATTCAGCCAGAGGTCAATAACCAACAGACACCAATAAGCTAGTTGGAAGAAGGGGAGGGGTACCCGAAGGTGTATAGAATTTAATGTCTAAAAGAGTGCCAGAGACAAAGAAACATTGAAAATAGATGCAGGAGTAGGCCATTCGGCCCTTCAAGCCTGCACCATCATTCAATATGATCATGACTGATCGTACAGTTTCATTATCCCACTCCTGCTTTCTCTCCATACAACTGATATCTTTAGCCGCAAGGGCCCTGTCCAGCTCCCTCTTGAATACGACTAACAAACTGGCCCCAACAGCTTTCTGTGGGAGAGAATTCTACAGGTTCTGAGTGAAGAGATTCTTCTTCATCTCAGTCCTGAATGGCTCACCCCTTATTCTTAGGCTGTGACCCAAGTTCTGGACTTCCCCAACATCAGGAACAGTTTCCTGCATCTAGCCTGTCCAGTCCCACCAGGATGTTTATGTTTCTATGAGATTACAGTAGGTACCAGCCCTGTTGATCTAATCTTCCCTCATAGATCAGTCCTGCCATCCTGGGAAACTGGTGAACCTTCGCTGGACTCCCTCAAAAGCAAGAATGTCCTCCTTCAGTCTAGGTGTGGTGTCACCAAGGCCCTGTATAACTGCGAGAAGACATCTTTACCCCGATACTCAAATCCTCTTGCTATGAAGTTCCTCACTACCTGCTGCATCTGCATGCCAACCTTCAGTGACTGTTCCACCATGACATCCAGGTCTCATTACACCTCACCTTTTCCTAAGATGCCACCATTCAGATAATAATCCGCCTTCCTGTTTTTGCCACCAAAGTGGAAAACCTCACATTTATCCACATTATATTGCATTTGTCAAGTATTTGCCCACTTAGCCAGTCTGTCCAAGGCACCCTGCAGCTCCTTCGCATCCTCCTCACAGCACACACTGCCACCCAGCTTAGTGTCATCTGCAAATTTGGAGACATTGCATTCAATCCCTTCATCCAAATTGTTAGTATATATTGTGAACAGCTGGGGTCCCAGTACTGTACCCTGCGGTACCCCACTCATCACTGCTGCTGCTCTGAACAGGACCTGTTTATTCCAACTCTCTGCTTCCTGTCTGCCAACCAGTTCCCTAGCCATGTCAATACATTACCTATGATACCATAAGCTTTAATTTTGCTTACTAATCTGTTGTGTGGGACTTTGTCAAAAGCCTTTTGAAAGTTCAGACACACAACATCTACTAATTCATCATTCTCTACTCTACTGGTCACATTCTGAAAAAATTCCAGAAGATTTGTCAAGGATGATTTCCCTTTCGTGAATCCATGCTGACTTGGACAATCCTGTTACTGCTTTCCAAATGCTCAGTTATTACTTTCTTAATAATTGGCTCCAGCATTTCCCCACCACCAGCGTCAGGCTAACTGGCCAATAATTCCCTGTTTTCTCCCTCCTGTTTTAAAAAGTGGAGTTACATTAGCTACCCTCCAGATCATTGGAACTGTTCCAGAGTCTGTAGAATGCTGGAAAACAATCACCAATGACCCTATTTCTAGGGCCACTTCCTTATGTACTCTGGGATGCAGAGAATCAGGCCCTGGGGACTTATCAGGTTTTAATCCCATCAATTTCCCCAATGCCATTTCCAGACCAATAAGGATTTACTTCAGTTTCTCCTTCATGCTTGACCCTCTGTCCCCTCACATTTCCTGAATGTTATTTGTGTCCTCCTTAGTGAAGACAGATCCAAAGTATTTGTTCAATTGGTCTGCCATCTTTTTGTTATCCATTATGAATTCACCTGATTCTAACAAGACGAGAACCTCAAAATGTCGAGCAAGTTTGCCATAGCTTACAATGGCCATTAGCTAGAAAGTGAGTTTTGGCTGAATGGCTATTAAGGTGGAGCCTGCTAAATGGGCCCCAGCTATTATTTATTCAGCAACAGCTGCTTTCTCCTGGGGACAATCGCCATTCTAGATTATGATTGATCATCCATCTCAACCCCATTCCACTCTGTCCCACCCCATAACCTATCCATGTATCCTTTCATAATAGAAATTTTGATGAGACTGACTATCAAGTTGTACCCAGGATAAATTCTAGAACAGGACCAGGAAAGTCAGCATAGCCAACCAGTGAAAATGCAATATGCGGAGCAAGCAGGT